GGACCTGAAAGGTGCGTCTAGCCCTTCAGCTGATTCATCTACCGTTTGCAGAAATTGTTAGAAGAAGAAGAAGCTATTCTTAAGGATGGGAAACTCTTGATTGATGGAATCTCAAATATAGAAAAGTAACAATGGATTTTAATCCACAATGTAATGCCATTTGGAAAGCATGTGATTGGCAAATGCATCATTTTTCAGGATAGCAATGATCCCCAAAACACTGTCAATACAGTAAAAGCATACCTGGATAGAAAAACATACAATAGAACAGCATCAGTCATGGCTTGGCCTCCACCTCAATATTACTGAAGCAGTGTGGGATCATTGTGACACGAGAGTGGAAGAAAAGGCGGACAACACCCAAAGACGAGCTCTGAATATCCTTCAAGAAGCCTGGAAAACTGTTCCTGTGGAAATGACAAGAAAACTAGAATTGAAGAATAACAGTTACAACGCCAAATATTGACTTTCAAGCTTGTTATATTGTTATAAACTCGATTTTACGTATATTTCCATTTATGTTTGCACATGTTCAAATAAATCATTGCCCCTGAGGCAACGAGGAATGGCTAAAGATTTCTGCCAGTACTCCATAACAAACATTAACTAAAAGTGTTTGATAAATGCATTCTATTTGCTTTTTTAAAAATCACAAAGTGAGAGATTTTTAATTTAAGTGAGCATTATGTTAATGTTTTAAATGTCATGGCATAGGATCAGATAGCTTCAAAGTAAATTATATTTTGAAATGTACAATCCCTTAAACACTGTGTCCTGATCTTGAACTAATAACTAGTCTACTGCATAATAAGACAAACAGCACCATTTAGAAAATGTCTTTTTATTGCAAGTATTCTTAATGCTTTGATGTTTTGTACAGATTTTCATATTTACAGCGATAATTAGTATTCCTCTAATAAATAGTACAACTGAAAGTCATTCTCTAGTCTACATGTTTAAATACTGCACGTGCAAAGTATGTATAATATGTGCTTGTCCAATAGATATGCTGTCTTAGTAGCTATTTACAATAGAAACAAACGTGGGATCCAACCACCATGCTACTGAAGAGACACTGTGCGTTTCCCCTCCAAAACAAACCCTCCAATTCAGTGATGGAGTCATGCAATCATTCTACTGGGGTGAAGACAGTTTAATTACAGCATCACTGCAATAACAGTATCCATCCAAAAAAAACCCCATCAAATAAAATTTTAATTATTTTTAAATAAGAAATTCGTGATAAAACAGTTTTCCAATTAACCACTACACAACAGTAGTGTCTAGTTCTTATTTGGTAGGAAACGTCCACCAGTACTGTAACGTTTTCAAAAATAATAGTAAAAGAAAAAAAAGCATTTTGATGAAAAACGAAACCAGCGTGACCTACTGTACAAGTTTGTTTAGGCTGCTTTTGCAGCAGTGCTCTTTATGAAGTCTCCAGGGTGCGATAGTAATAAATCATCTGTGAATGAAACCTTTTACAGGTTTAAAATCACTTTGTCTGCCACAGGCAAGAAATCTGTTCCTATAAATACACCGTTTAAATATGTGTTCGCATTGCAAGTGCTGCTCTGCCACAAGTGTAGGTAGAGCGAAGTCAACCTATACATTATACATAAAAATCCTCATATTTGAACATTCAATATCAATATATTTTCCACATATTGTGAATATAACGCTGAGTCCTGCCTGACAGCGCATCCCCATGAGTGTGCAGAGAGGGAGAAACACGCAAACACCGTGACGAGACAAGAGCACGGCCAGTGTGATGTTACGTCACCTCTAGATGGCACTATTGCACAAACCTACAACCTTCTGCATCGTTTCACTAGAATGGATGACAGGTACAGTGCAAAAACAATAACAGCAACAAACTGAGTCCGATATGATATACATATTTATGCCAAAAAAAATGCCCGTTTGATCTTGTGTTTCCATGTAGGAACAGGGAAAAATGTCTGTGTTGTGTTGTCTGGTTCACCTCTGCAGAGTTCTATGGCTTTGGCAAGAGGGTTGAGAGGAAACAGAAAGGGCCTTTACCGCCTGCACCTGGCATGTTTGTGATGAAGCAGCCGCCTCTACGCCTGCTGAGCCTCCTCCCTGCACCTCTGAACCCGAGTGAGCAGAGAGCACCGACGGTCATGCACACACACAGATACTGTACACTTCAACAGACACTGGAGACATTTCAGACATGGGTTACAGTATTTACAGAAGACACTGACTTGATCGCATGCACTTGATAATAGGGGTGTTTCTGACCCCTGGGGGCGGGGCAGTGCAGGAGTTCAGAGCTGTCCTCGGTGGGAGAGGAACCGTCAAATTATTCAGTGCTGTGAGAATGTTTGTACATCGCCTTAGTTAGAGAGTTTGTTTTGCCTCGGAATTATTTAAGAGTGGCACGATTTGACTTCTATCCCTGCAGTCATAAAATATATTCTTCATTATGGTGAGTACTTAAGTCAGTGAGTCAGTGACATGTTTTTCTTCCACACGAGTTGGGTTCTAGCCTTGGAGCTGCATTTAATGTGCACATGATTACGTTTTTATTATTCTGTCTGTTCTGCAGCCAAAGGGCTGCGACTTAAAACTGTTATTAGTATCAATTAATTTGCAGATTTTTTTCTTCAAGAGGTCAGAAGGCGTGATCTAAAACTGTCATGTCCAGGGAAATTTCCCAGGATCAAACAGATACAGAGAGCATTATGCATCTTTAAAGAACAGAAATCTAGTTGTCTAAAACAAGAGTACGAGTGGACTCTCTTAGTTACTCTTGCTGTGAAAAGTAATTAAAATCAATAAGGATTTTTTAAAAATAGTTTATAAATCAGAAGATTTATAAATCAGCGGACTCTGTACAGTTTTGATTCTGCAGATAATCCAGTCATGTGTGACTGGATTAAGATTAAAATAATGCAAGCTACTTTCAGCTGCTGCCTTAATCACAAGGTGTCACTGCAGCAGGTAGCTCTACATGTTCGATTTGTCAGTTTTTCCATGACAGATGCTCCTCCTGACGCAGCCTGAAGGGACTCAAACCTCCTCCTGGGATCAAACCTGAAAGTTTTTGTTTAGAAGGCAAATAATGGATAAACCACTACACTGTGGAGCCACCCGGATTTAAGTTAATACAGCTGAAAAATCTAAGTGTACCTTGTTAATTTTGAAAAACCCTTTGATTTTAATAATATATACCACATTTATGATGATACTAAACTTTTAAATTTGGGTTTTAGAACTGCTCAGCAATTTTTCACAGCATTAAGAAATCTTTAAATTGATGTGGGGTGATTTAAAGGACAAGAAAAAACCCCACCCAAAATTCAAATGAAAAAAATCCACCCTGAAACACTTTATCACTCTCTTGGTGGTGACTTGTCTTTGGTTGGTTGAATTCTTCCTAAACGAGTTATGACGATGATGCCACACGATGATGTCACAGATGTATTTCCAGATCATAAAATCTTTTGTTAAAGAAGTATTTAAAACAGTGATATGTTAGGGTTAGGTAGCAGAACTCTGACACGAAGCCTGAATGCTTCAACGCCACAAAACATTTTACATTTAGATTAGAAGGCAAGATTCAAGTTTTCTCAGCTGGAAAAACATCTCGCCACTCTGATTCTACCATTATCCTCGCTATTTCCACCTACACATTATGACACAGTTGAATGCAATGGATTCACACCTGTATACTACACACACACACATGCACGCACGCACACACAGTACCTAGAGCATTGGAGGGTGGATTTTTTTCTGTAAATAGGACTTTTTCTTTGCACTCTGCACACTGTTCATCCAACAGTGTCCAGGAAGAGGAAAAAATAACATATTTCCCAATCTTCTGTGTTCTTTCAAAAGAAAAGCCCGGAGTTACTATATAACATTTCAGATGCTTGACTGATTGGCTTCTAGGGCTGATGAACTGATGCCAGCACCTACTAGCCCCCAGAGAAAGTAGTTAGATGAGGGCTGGAGTATTATAACGTGAGAGAAGCTGTGGCCTGTACAGATCCTCCTGCTTCAGTGGTGGCAAGCTTTGCCATCATCTTTTCTCAGGAGCTCTAATAAGAGGGCAAATATTTCCTTCCTTCCTTTCTCTCCTGGGAGCCAGACTGCAGCCCTGATAGCTCGCGAGTCTTCTGGTGGGTGACAGATCAGCAGAAGTGCATCACTTTCGGCTGCTGGGAAAACGAACAGCTCTTAACTCCTGCATCGTTGTCGGATTTTTTATTTATTTTTTTATTACACCAGGGAAACACAGACAACAGTATGTTATGTGTAATGTCAGCCCTTGAGTGTCCCTGTCAGAGTAAAGGGGGAGGAGTCCTGCGCGACTCCTCATGCTGGCTTCATGGTTTTATTGGACGTCGGGTGGAGACGTGGCCCTCGTCCAAAAACACTAAAAACAATTTTAAAAACAGATTTCGTTGATTTTTTCGAGCGTTACTCCTTGCAGTTCTTTTCCAATCAACAGGGACACGACCTCACCCACTGGCATGCACATGCAGGCTGGCTTGTTTCCAGCTCACAGTGGGCACAGCTACTCCATGCCATTCCTCAGCATCTGATTGGCTGCGATGAGCATGACGCTGATGATGAATGCCATGGCAAAGGCGCAGATGAGGCTCTTCCTCACGCACGTCTGACGGTTCTTCTTTGAGGGGTGAACTGAAAGAGATGTGAGAAGCGGACAAACACAAATGAAGGACATAAATAAAAAATAAGCAGATTTAAATGATGGTACCACTTTTGCTTCTAATAAGACTCTGGATAAATCATTTATTGTGCCCAGACAACAATAATGAAGAAAAACAGAGCGCTCACTGACACGCATCAGACTTTCAATGGTTTATTTTGTGTTACTTTTTCAGCTCATTGGTCAACACTTGTCTCCCAGGAAAGATTAATGCCATTCAAAGCTGAATAGTATTACAAAGTGCCCTAAGATGCTTAAAAATGTAAGTCTTGCTCTGTTGTCTTTTTTGTGGTTTGGTGTCGAGGATAAGAACTCAGCTTGGACCAAGAGCAAAGGATGGTCCCACATGGAAAGAGTCCGGATTATTAGAGGGCAGATGTTGAATTCTGGGGCTTGGAGGAAAAAGATCTGAATGTGAGCACACCCACGCAAAAGAAGTATTCAGGATATTGGCTTTTCCTTCTTTTTTTCATCTTCCTCACTGGTCGCCTTGCCTCCGTTCCTTTCTTCCTCATTTCCTACCTCATTCCTTCCACTCCTGGTTTGCTACCTGTCCCTCCCTTTCTCACTTCCTTGTTTCCTAACCATCTTCATCTTTTCCTCATATCCGTACCATCTTCATCGGCTAACAAACAAAAGATTTCCCGGCTGGACCCCAGAAGGACACACAAATCCTTTGTGGGTTGCATGAATATTTAATTTGGAAAAATCTGCCAAATCCAATATGTGGTGACTCCTGAATAAGAGAGCAGCCAATGGTAGCGTCTTCATCTCTCTCTCCATCCCTTCCTTCCTTCCTTCCGATCTTCTTCCCTTGTTTGTTTCCTTCCCTTCTTTCTTGAAGCCTTTCTTCTTTAATTTTTTGTATGTCTTCATCCATTACTTCCGAGTCTCTTTGTGAGCTTCCTTGTTTTTGTGCCCTCTCCCTTCCCTTCATTCCCATCTCTAGCATTAATTTCCTTCCTGTCTCCCCACCTTCCACATTTCCTTCCCAGCTTCCTCCGTTAACTTATAACTTATTAACAAACCTACTTCGAATTGGGTTCAGCACATAAATATAATTTATTGTGAAATGTTTTACTATAGCCGAGAACAAAAGAAATAACCCTGAGGTGTGATCTCCCATAGGCCATGACAAGGAGAATTATTGCTCTGGATCCCAGCTGAAAGAAGCAACAGAGAGGCCACAACTCAGCGGTCCAGACATCACAGCAACAGCCAAATTTCACAAAACAGAGCCCAATTAGTCTATCGGCTTTAAAGTGATAGAGGAATCTTTAAGCTAAAGATTGGAATATTTAAATAAATAGCATGTATTCTAAGATTTCCTTTTAACTCTGTCAAACAGGCTCGCTGTACCTCGTTATATATCAACTCTTTTCCTGAAGCACCTTTAAATAACTCCTTTACATGAGATATTCAGATAAAACCAGCAGAAACGGGTCAGTAAAACCCAAAGAAAAGTACAGAACATGAACTGGACGAGAAAAACAGATTTAAAAAAAAAAAAAAGTATCTTTAATGATTTAATGGGAGTTTCAGAGCTCGGGGGCTCAGACTGAAAAACCCGCCCAGTCACCTTTAGTCCTGTGCTTTGTTTCAGGAACACCAGATTCATGGCTAATATAGTCTAATACAAAAAAAAATCCTAATTACCTTCCCAAAGGTAATAATTTTCTTTTCTTTCTTTCATTTTAATTGAAACTGTCTGAAAGGTAGCGATTCGACTCTTGAGCCATTTGAAAGCTGCAGTTTGTGCTGTTTTTTAACCGCATCACACTGAGAGGGGGTTTTAATATTTTGCCTACTCATTCATATAAACAGGAAGAAAGAGCATTATTGTATAATAATGAGCAGTGAGGGGCATAATGTGTTTGGGGGAGATTTCTGTATTTCATCGAAAAACCTCAAACTCAGGATTTTAAAATCTCGTCTCCATAAACCCTGAGTTTAGACTAAAGGACAGGATGCTGAACTGAAGGTCATGAAATGGGATTTCAAACTGACACACATTTTCACAACAGCAGGCCAGGTTCTTACTTCTGGCTCGATCAGCTTCTTTCCCTGACCAGTTATTTAGCAGCTCGTCCTCCCTGCAGTGAGTGAAATGATTTTACCGGGCCACAGTAATTAGGGAGGCTGAGCCAAAGACCTGCAGACACACGACACTTTTCTTAACTTTCACACAAAGAAGTCATCAAAAATGCTTCTTGAGTGCTGCTCCAAAGAAAACGTGGAATGTGGGACAGAAAAGGCTGCGTCATTTTTGGCTGAGGTGGTTTCATTACTTGGCAATTTTGAGCTGAATAATTATTTTCCAGGCTTTCAAATTTATATAAAACTTGTCATTTTATCCACATCTTAGAACAAACCGAAACGCCAAGGTTACATAACTCAACACTGGGTGAGTGAAGAGTCTAAATGTGGTTTGCTCCTTGTACAAAAACAATTTAGGGTAGTTTTCTAAGAACAAATCTTTTGGCTGCTTCTTTTGAGGAACAGCATGCTGACACCGACAGTTACTCACATTCACAGTGTCATCTGTTAGACATTTGTGTCACATAGATGGAAATTAAGGAGCTGGTAGAGAAATCACTCTCCGCTCAGTATTACCCTCCATAAACCTGTTTCCCTAAATCTTAATCTACTGCTGACACAACATGAAAGTCTTCATGCGTTACAAAACGGCACTGCTGGCAGGTGAAATGATCTTTAATTGTTTTGCAGTTTCAGCGGAGAAGTGCGGCATGAGTCTTCAGACAGCTAAATCTTCCTGTTCCCCATTTTTTCACGACTTCCACCATCTCTCTAAGCTACTATTTCTTAAAGACATTTTGGACAGTGGAAATTGCAAGCTGGAAGTGCTTTTAAATCTTTTTCATAGCCTTCCCAGGCTTTGTAGTCATAAATTTGCTTTCTTTTAAGTTCTTCGTCTTCTTCAGAGGAGCCTGTGATTGTTGAATGTTACCACAACGTCTGAAGGCAGTTTATCCCCAACCAGCTCCAAACAAGTCAATTAAATCTTATGGAGTTAATAGAGTTCAGGGTTAAGTCTTGCTTAAACAAAATCTGCCCAATCCTTCACATACATCTCTGAGGATGAGCTAGCAGGGTGCAAATGGAAAGAACATGTGTTCAGCTGCTGGACTGAAGATGGGAGGAGAGTTGTGGTCTAGACAATCGTTCTAAGTCCAGTCAACTGAATCCAATGTCGGCCTCGTAAAACACCTCTGCAGCCGCCCAGCCTAATGATACAACTGCCAAATATCCACACAGGACTTTCTCCGGGCCACTGTGGTCTCAAGGTAATAAAGTGCTCGGTGGCTTAGTGGCTGCTGACTAATGCATTCATCCGTCTGTCCTTATCCAGCGGGGTAACTTTAGCTGACAGACATACTGTGTTGGTTTAATTTATGACACTTCCACTTTTTACTGTTGTGATGCTGATTTCCAAACTGCAATTAAAAGACAATCAAAGAGCATTTGCAGGCTATGATGCAGTGATTCTGTATTTGTTTGTATTTGTTCAGCTCCTAGCAACATTTCTTCTTGTTCAGTACCCAGAAGAGTCAAAATACATCGACTCCTGCAGAAAAGTAAATGTGTGCTTGACTGCTTGTAAACACCATGCATTTTTAATCAAGAAGGTTTAAGAAATATTGAAAAGGTAATAGATTCCCAATCTCATGGCTACAAAAGAACGGCGGTGCAAAAGTATGATTTGTCATAATAAATATTATAAACATATTTGTCACAAATTAAATATGAGCAGCTCAAGCTGTGGGCTGCAGTTTAAGAGCTGAGGTTTAATAAAGCACACAAAATGCTTTAATAATAATAATGGATTGCATTTATATAGCGCTTTTTGGAATCCCTCAAAGCGCTTTACAATACCACTATTCATTGTCTGTGAAGGTTCTCAGTCATCCAGGTCATCGTAGTCAAAGGAGCTTGCAAAGAAAAGCGTCTGGACTTCTTTAAGTTGCTTGAAGACGTTTCACCTCTCATCTGAGAAGCTTCTTTTGACCTTAGAACTGAAGAAGCTTCTCGGATGAGAGGTGAAACGTCTTCAAGCAACTTAAAAAAGTCCAGACGCTTTTCTTTGCAAAACGAAAAGCGCTTTTCTTTGCAAGCTCCTTTGACCACTATTCATTCACTCTCACATTCACACACTGGTGGAGGCAGCTACAGTTGTAGCCACAGCTGCCCTGGGGCAGACTGACAGAGGCGAGGCTGCCATATGGCGCCATCGGCCCCTCTGGCCATCACCAGTAGGCGGTAGGTGAAGTGTTTTGCCCAAGGACACAACAACCGAGACTGTCCGAGCCAGGGCTCAAACCGGCAAACCTTCCGATTACAAGACGAACACCCAACTCTTGAGCCACGATCGCCCTAAAGCCTTTAGCAGAGTGCAAAATGGTGATAAATGCATTAAAAAAGGAAAGCGAGTTAAAAGAGAGTTTTGAGGGCTAAACTGGGAATTGCTGCGTAATTTAGTTGCTTTTTAGTTGAACCTGTTAAATGTGTTCCAGGGGGATTTTTCTTTTATGCTGAAAGCAGCAACAACAACACTGATATTTTGAAAAAGTCAGCAATCACACCTTACATAACGCAAGTGCACAAACTAACCAGCGTATGCAATATAGAGATTCAATCTATATGCCCTTAAATCTCCACACCTGTGAGGCAGCTGTGACATTCATGGACCGCAGTTGATTTCCACACTTGCAAGTGGCACTCTGCGGATGGCAGCTGCAGCTCCAGCATGTTTCTCCGCGCTTTATGCCATTGGTGCAATTTGTTCAGCAATGAATCAGCATCTGGTGAACTTCTATGGATCAGTGGTTACATTTTTTTCCAGTTGTTTTTCAGCCTCCCACCATATTGATCCAGAACGAGGAAAAGCCAGAGGGAAATCAAATGCCTCTTGCGCTACCTCATATATCAGAAAGCTGAAGTAATAAGCACAAGTGTAGCATGATGAATCGTATTCAGTATGAATCAAACCGTGACTTGATGTATCGATTTCTCCATGACTGAGCACTTTTTTGGTGTCCCTGCGTGGCAGGTGGTACTTGAAGACCTTGGGCTCAATAGATTCTGCAGTGGGCAGCCTTAATCATAAACCTAGTAGGGTCATCATGTTGTCATCACTCTACACCAGTTTTGAGAGCTTGATAAAGTGCTTGTGCAATCTTTGTCCACTCTCAGTGACACCAGTGTTGGCCTAGTAAATCCCTATTTTATTCACAGGCACATGTGTTTGTGAGAGACATTAAAGTCTCTTTTGCTTCTGCGAGTCATTTTGGTCCACAGAAGAAATATAAACGGGCTAGAAAGACAAATCTCAACACATTGGAATTTCATTCACACAGTATTAACCAAAGAGACTGATAAGCGCAGACTCACTGCATAACAAAGCAAGCTGGGACGCTGCTTTAGGACATGTAGGAGCTGCTGGTGTTATGACTCAGATTTCTGTGCTTCTAAAAGTCATGTTTCTGGTGTTGAAACACAATAGATGCAGCATTCGATACTGTTGACCATAATATCCTATTAGAGCGATTAGAACATGCTGTAGGTATTACAGGTATTGCACTGCAGTGGTTTGTATCATATCTATCTAATAGACTCCAATTTGTGCATGTAAATGGAGAGTCCTCTTCACACACTGAGGTTAATTATGGAGTTCCACAGGGTTCAGTGCTAGGACCAATTCTGTTTACATTATACATGCTTCCCCTAGGCAGCATCATTAGAAGACATAGCATACATTTTCACTGCTATGCAGATGACACCCAGCTCTATCTGTCCATGAAGCCAGATAACACACACCAATTACTTAAACTGCAGGAATATCTTAAAGACATAAAGACTTGGATGGCCACTAACTTTCTGCTTCTTAACTCAGATAAAACTGAGGTCATTGTACTCGGCGCTGAAAAGCTTAGAAATGGAGGTTTCTTTCTGTTAAAAGGGAGTTTTTCCTTCCCACTGTCGCCAAAGTGCTTGCTCATAGGGGGTCATATGATTGTTGGGTTTTTCTCTGTATCTATGAAGCGCCTTGAGGCGACTTTTGTTGTGATTTGGCGCTATATAAATAAAATTGAATTGAATTGAATTGAATTTTTTAATCTGCTTTCAAAACATACATGGAATCAATTAATTTGCACATGCTAAAATGTAACAATGTAACAAAGCTGACATGTGATTTTAGGTGAGAAACTGGGAAAAAATTCCAAAATATAACTTTTTATGTGCAGTTTTGAAGAGGCTGAAGCTTTTTTAAGTGGGGAGCAGAAGATAAATACATTCTAGTAACAAAGTTTGCCTGAACATATCTCTCGCTTGCAGAGCATCTGTTCAGTTACAGCCAAACAGATGATTATTAACACGATCCCCCCCACATACATGCTCAGAACTGCCTGGCCTGAATGCCGAGTGCTGTGACAAAACACTGCCAAGTTTCATTTCATTTCAAACTGCAAATGTTTTATGCAAATTGAGTCACTTTGTGGTCTGTTTAAAATGTATTTCTCTCAGCACCCAAAGCAGAGATGACTGAAAGGGATGATTCATCAAATCTGACTCCAAACCTGGCATTTAATAAACTTTTTAAATGGTTTTGAAAGAAACAATTGCATTTCCTGTTTTTATGAAAAGAGTGAAAGTCTTATAATACGCTCTGCTGCTCTGATAGCCATGAATCTTGGATGGATCTTGGCTAGTTCTGCAGAGTGAATTTATATCTATATTTTATCTGTGCCGCTTCTAAACAGGTGACCAGCTGACACCAGTTCCCACGAAAGCCCCCAAATTAATAAATCAGCAGGTGTGCTGTGACTGTGTTGGCTTTAGATCTCGATGAGACAGCTCAAATTCTTCCTGACAGAATGGATTACTTTCTCGGTCTCTACCTACACATGACTAGCCCAACACACACACATGCCAGCATATATATCTTCGTGCCTATGTGCAAAGCCAGCTCGGGGAATTCAGCTCACCTCCCTCAAACTCTGTCTGACAGTTGCCAGAGTTTTCCTTTAGGCTTTCTTCCTCATTGATGATGATGTTCTCAATGTCCTTCATGGTGAGGTGGTCACGGAAGGCGCAGAACAGGATGTGTTTCAGCTCCTCCAGGGTGATTCTCTGCATGTCAAACTGAGGGAGAAAGAGATGAGGAGGAGATTTTTTAAAAAGAAAGAGACCATTTTCCCTTCACATAAATAAGCTTGCCGTACGTGCCTGGCAGGGTAGTGCGTGACACAATCCTTCCACTAGTAGTTCCACTAGACTGCAAACCTCAATAAAACATTACAAATACAGTCTCAATCGCCCTAAGCTGCGGAGTACAAAAAAATTAAATAAATCTGAGTAGATTTTTGCTTCGGGCGACTTACAATAAGTGATGTTCCCTGTAAGAAAGGACAAAAAGTTCAAATGAATAAATCACTCTTCATGTTCCAGTACGTCCCTGTGCATCTTACAGATGTCACTCCTGTACATTTACTTTAATCAGAGCATTGCGTAACGCTGATGCATTGATTAAATTGAACGAGGTAGAGTTATGTTCAAAGAGTGGCTGATTTATGGTTCTGTTTGAGTGTTTACAGACACACCCACTTTTAAACCAGAGGTGTCTGAAGGTCAGATCAAGAAGATCTCGCTGGCGAGTGATGCTTTGCTGGAAAGCAGTGCTTTACTTAGGAGCAGTAGGATAACTTAATTTGCTTTTTATTCTGCTACAAGAAAAGCTTCAGAGCCGATACAAACCTGACTCATAATGAAATCACAAAGAGCAGCGAGTCCCGAGCCAGCTGCGAGGACAGCGAGTTCCTCTGAATTCGTCTAAACGCTTGTACAAACTCACTGATATTTACTTTCAACAAAGGCAACATATATTGTTCCTATATTGATGTTGTTTGTGCACACTGTAGGAATAAAAATTTGGTAACACTTTTAGTTTATACAGCTACAGAAAAGAATTAATGGATTAAGAAAGTCGTGGTAAAAGCAAAACACATCTGCTTTCAATTCCCAGGTTTTATGTATCAGGATATTACAAAATTATTCTGGTCTTAAATTTTGGTAAGTGCAACATCAGATTAACAACAGATAACATATTACACCATGTCATTAGGTATTAAGTATATCCTTACTGCCTCCATGGGAATTAAGACATGAGTAGCTGCCAGATGCTGCTAATCAAATTCGCTTTAATTAACTGATCATCAGCAAGTATCACCTCTATAAAAGCAGACATTTTAGCAGTTTGCAGGTTTGGTGGATTCAGATGTGTGCCAACACAATGCTAACGAGGAAAGATATCAGTAATTACCTTACAAGTAAACTGAAGTCCATCATTCTGCAGTGAGAAAGATTATTTAAGAGTCGTTCAGTCTTAGTTATGCTTGATCTCACCACTGCCTTTCGACACTCTTGATTATGATATTTTAATCCGAAGCCTTCATAACTGCTTTTCATCATATCTAAGGACCAGAACATTTTATGTTTCAATTCAATTCAATTATTAGTTTTAGATCTGCAAAAATAAAAATTCAATGAGGGGTTCCGCAAGGGTCAATTCTTGGTCTGCTACTCTTTAAACTTTACACACTCACACTTTGCACTATCATAAAGAAATCATAATATATCTTACCATTCTTATGCAGAGGATATTCATCTGTATCAATCTATAAATGCACATTATATGCATAGATTTTTTTGTCAGTGTACTATTTCTCTCTACTCTGGAGGAGTACTCTGTTTTGATGGTCTCTCTGTAGCTCTGCAGAAACCAGAAATATTTGTTGTTGTTCCAAAAATGCGTTCATATTTAACCCCCCCACTTCAAAACATATTGAAAGTTTTTGAAATTCTCATCTCAAACTGGGAAAATGGTCCACGCATTCATTTCAAACAGGTTAGACTACTTTACTCAATGGTTATCACCTTCGGCCATGTTGTCAAATACCATGGCCTTGAACACATCAGGTGGTTAGGCCTTTTCTCTGTTATCTGTATTACACTCTCACCGCGGTACCCAGGACATGCATGGATGGGAACTGCCCCAGTATGACCCTGAAGTTGATAAGCTGTGTAACAACAGCTGAGCCAAATCAGTGGAGCATAAAAAGCTACGACAGGCAGAAGCATAAAGAGATCTAGGAAGTCAACGTTAACGGGACACCAGCTCTGTCTTCATTAAAATAGTAGCAATAACAACAATGATAACAGTGAAATAATTACAAAAGTTCCACTGTTATCTTTATAAACCTAAAAAAATTAAGCAGAAAACTCCGTTATATTAAACCAACCAAATATTTAAAAAAAATTAATTAATTAACATAAATAATTAATAACAAAATACAACATCGGCCCAAGTTAATCTATTACAAAATAATTTCATTTTTCCTGCTCTGTTGCCTCATGTGTTAGTATGGAGTGCACAAATTCAAACTCTGACACAGTAAAATGACACAGTAGTACAGTAAAATGACCAAATACGACACATCAATTTGTAATAAACATATAATGTACAAGCTGAGAGTACAGTTCTTAGATAAGGAATCATGTCTCATCAAGTCTCAGGAGCTGAATGAGTGTTAATCCTGGTCTCCTGTTTTTTTTTTTAAATTTATGACTGAACAGTGCAGAGGGATAGACAGGAAAGTGGGGAGAGAGTGAATGACCTTGGGCTACAGCAGTCCCCGATCTGTCTTCTTTAATGCAGACATGCTAGTGAAGAGAGAGTGAAGTATGTGCGTGAGGAAACAATAAGGTTCGAATACCTGGTGATATCAAAAATATGCAATCAACAATGATCCCATTCTTTTAACAAAAACAGGAAATAGGATGATGGAAAATACAACATCAATAAGCATTTACATAAAAAAGAAATGTAAATGCGTATTCACATTTTTGATGCTCATAAAAGGCTCATGTTGTTTTTGAAACTTTGTGAACGAGGTGAGAAACACCACATCTCTCTCTGCTATACAAATACAGTTTTTATTATTAACATAATTATTAGTATAAACAGAAAGGTTTCCATTCTGGTTCAGTCAAGCAACTCCAGAGAGCTTCTTCACAGACCATATATATATATATATATATATATATACATACATACATACATATATAGTTGTACTGGTGGTTTCAGGGTAACCACCAGGTAGGTAGGTAGGTATATATACATATACATATATATATACACATATATACATATATATACACATATACACACACATATACATATACACACACATATACACACACATATATACATATACATATATGTATTCATTCATATAGAGTTTATATGATTTACTAAATGTATCCAGCTTCTCAACACATTTGATCTCAGTTTACAAACACCAAATCCCGATTGTGTTTGGTGCACTCGGTGATATTATGATGAATGACACTCGTCCAGAGAGTGAAGGATAACATTCACTGGACTTTCTGGCAAGCCCACTGAGTAGATAATTGCATAAATCACACTTGGACACTTACCATCGATGCAATTTGTTATCGCTCAGCCTTTACAGAGTGAGCTAATGAACACTCGCACCAATCACACCTCAAATGTTAATCAGCCTTCATGAAGATTCATTATCAGAGGTAATTAAAATTTTGGGTCAATGTTTCGTCTTTTGTTTGCCGGCTCATTAATCAAAAGTGAACGTAAATGTAAATGTTGGCAAGACAAAAGTAAAATAAAGTTATGCAACAATAGACTAATAAATCACATACATTGTGAAATGTAATTTAAAAGCAGGTACATTGAATCCAGTGGAAACGTAAATATAACAGTGACAGAAAACATAAACAAACCCATAAAAAGAAGGTACAGTTACTAAATATTTACCCTGAAACCACCAGTACAACTAAAGGTTTATACCAATACAACAACTGATACTTCAATATTCTTCAGTTATTTGATTTTCTTCATTTTACTGCATTTTTGTGAAAAGACAGAAGGAGCAACACGATGCATCACCTGGTTGAACAGGTGACCCATGCTGTGCAGGCTTTAGTCCTTAGTGCTGCACCGCAGGTTCGAGGTTGCTCCAGGTGCTTTTCTATGTGCCATTCCCCCTCACATACAACCCATCTTCCTTTCTACTCTATACTAGACTAAAAATAAAATAATAAAATTTATCAATCATTTAAAAGAATAACACAGTAAGCAGAAAAAACTCTGATGACCACTGAAACTCAAACACTGACTCCTTGTTGACCACCAAACTCAAAGTATTCTACATCAGCGGTCCCCAACCTTTTTTGCGCCACAGACCGGTTTATGCCCGACATTATTTTCACGGCCTTTAAGGTGTCGCGGATAAACACAACAAAATAAAACTAGTACTGGTACCGAAAAAAAGACATACATTTCACACCTGAGCCTCTCGCGGCCCGGTACCAAACGACTCACGGACCGGTACCGGTCCGAGGCCCGGGGGTTGGGGACCGCTGTTCTACATTAGTATTGAACATACATTTCAGATAATAAAGAGCCCCACAGTTCAGTATTGACAAACATAAACAAACAGAAACTTTTTGTGAGACTAAATAGAATATGGCATTAGTTTAGGCAGGAAACAAAGTCAAGCTCAGCCCATAATCCCAGCCGTTCAGCTAATACTCTTCCAAGCAACCAACTAGCAAATCCCAAACAGAGCCATGCATCTGCAAGCCTCTTCACAACCCATCATTCTCCTTTGTATGCGTTAGACTTGATCATTTTCATGCGCCTGCTCTCTTCAGGACACTGCTGCTGCTGTGGTCCTAACTGGAAAGCTCACACAGCAACAATCTCACATCAGCCACCATGTACAGCAGCATAAAAAGATGTTTTGCCTCCTGTTTCAGAAATGGATGCGATGTTTCACAGACTGCAGAGCTCTGTTTATTTCTCCTCGCATCTCCCTCTGGAAAACAGAGAGAGGATCTGTACTACACAGACAGATCTACCTGGAGTGCCCCTGCAGCATCTGCCACTTAAAGTTACTGCCAACTTTTGTGTTACTTCCCCCCCAAAGGAAAAGGTCGGCAGCCTAATTGTGTTTACCCAACCTTTATGCGGCCTCGCTTCCCAATAAAGACGGCATCGCTGGCACCCATCTAGAGACTGGCAGAACTTCATTTGCCAAGAA